ACCTAACCTAACCTAACCTAACCCGACCTAACCTAACCTAACCTAACCCGACCTAACCTAACCTAACCTAACCTAACCTAACCTAATCTAACCTAACTTAACTTAACATAACATAACCTTACCTGCTTATTAACAATGCCCTGTAATTCTATTATTAGTATATGTTCAAATACAATTTCAGAATTTTTTTACAAAATGAAATTATTGAGTGTTTCACTTGTGAGGTTCTGAATACAATAATATAAGAATTGTGACTTACGCCTGTCTTTTCTCTAAAAACTTTAAATTTGAATGAATTTTTAAAGTATTTCACATGTTATTTCAAGTGAGTAACCTCTTCTCTTACATGCACAACAATCATAAGATACTCAAGTTATGATATAAAGAAGAATGGTTGGTTTTATTTCATGGCATCTTGAGATGCAACTTACGTTAATGCAGAAGCCATTATATTAAGGGTGTATTTAATAGCCAAGTTCAAAATAAAAATAACATGTATGAAATTTGAATAACGATGTCACTATTTTTTGCAAGTTACCTCAACATCTTCCGGATCTGTGATGAAAACTTCAGGAACTCCTAACACCCATATGCGAAATGTAGGACCATATTCCTTGTGAATCTGACGGAATTTATGCCATAATTCTGGAAATTTTACATAGAACAGTATGGTTATGATTAAAATATTTCATGATGCCAAAACATTTATTTTTGAGGGGCACATACCTCTAAGACAGCAAATGGTATAAGAAACCAAGAGCTTCTTAGCAAGGAGAAACTGGTTTATTTTACGAGAAGTCTGTTGTTTGTAAGAAAACAGCACAGCATCTTATAGCTGGATCAAAGCAAGTTTTACAAAAATACATCTCTTAATCTTATAGTCATTATTAGATGTTAGTTTTATATTGCGTGTAAAAATATAAATGAGTAACCTAACCGTAGAGCATTATCAATTCCTCAGAAATTTAAGTTTCTTTTTTTAAATGCCCTAGATTCAACAGTTTTACACACTCAAAATTTAAATTTTTACTCAAATATTTACTACCAATTTACAGGATATTCAAAAAATATGTATAAACGCATTCAATGAACAAATACGACATTTTAATAAAATAAATCATTACAGAAGTTAGCATTGGCACTTGGTGAATTAACAAATCTAGTTTACGTGTCACAAAATGGCCACGGTTATGTTCGTGGCACATTTGACAGCAGTGAACAAATGACTGACAAGCGGCCACAAACGTCGTGGCACATTTGACAGCAGTGAACAAGTGACTGACAAGCGGCCACAAAATTTTCTGCTGTGCATACATCTTTTTGAAATATTTGTATACAAATTTGCATACAAGAATTTATATACACGGAGCAAAATTTGAGCCAAACTATTAGTGAACGTACACTATGGAATTCACAAATTATTTAAGTTCAGTGCGAACAATTAATTGACAATAATGTGGGAGGGGAAGTCATGACGTAGTTGATGATTACATTTAAACATTTATCTGTATCTTTAGGGAAACTACGGAAAATGTCAGTCAGATAGCTCGTATTCGGAACGAGAATCGAAACCAGGACATTTCGAATAAAAACCAGAATTACAAACTACTCAACAGCTGATGTACAATAAGCATGTGTTGGTTTGTTGGTTGTTTGGTTTGTTCGTTACTGTTAAATCATTTTGGGCTTTATCGGATAATTAATTAATCTGTGTTTACTATCGTAGTTTTTTATCTCATTCATAATGGACAATTATTTACTACTTGAAAAAATTCCATGTGAGGATGAGTAATTTATAGATTAGCAAACTTGGTTAACACTTACCTTCTTCAGGCACATTGAATAGAAGTATATTACCAAAAATGGGAACTGTTTTTGGTCCTGGTATCATGTTTACTTTCTTGATATCTGACCTCCTGAAAAACCATTTCCAACCATAGGGGAACACAGCGAAAAACGCAACTACCAGAAACAGAACGCTCCCTAGAGTAGTTAACACGATATCGAGCATTTTTATTTCAAAATGTATTCACCTGAAAAATGAAAAAAAAAATAACCATAAATTTTACTGTGAAATAACATTAATTTGGAGCGATTCGAAAGTTATTCTATTACACATTTAAAATAAGAATATTTTTGAAGATGACAGTCATCTGAGATACTGTACCATGTAGTCTCGTATAAATTAACCAGCGTTCTAGGCCACTGGAATGTCAGTAAACGTCTATCAGACTAAACGATGCAATATCCCTGATGAGTCTTCTTGTATCTCACCGCCTTGAGAACAGTGGCTGACGTGCAGTTTAAATTCAACTTTTAATGCCATAACCGCTATTATCTAAAACACTGTTCATTTTTTTTATGTATAGTTTTTAACCTTTCACCTTTTATCTTGAAATATGGCCGAATGGGTTTCCGGGCGAAGTTGCAGCCTCATTATATTTTCAATTTCTTGGCTTGGCACCAATTTCTTAACACGCAAACATCGCTTTTTTAATTTCATTCATATTAACTTACATAAATTCAAATGGGAGTACATATTTTATGTATCCCTCATAGTCCAATACGAGATGTAACATAACCTCACAAAATTCCCATAAATATGCAATTAGAAATGCCTGTCAATTCCTCAGATGACACATGGTATTATGTATCAGCTGTGGAATACATTCGACTTTAAATCTGTCCCAGACATAAACTACCCTGGGTGTGAAACCTGCGTGATCACGGTGATAAATCGGTGTCTAATCATCTTGAACATCGCCGTAACTATTGGCTTACGGAACCCAAAATCTGAGCATCGCTTAAACATATTTTAGTTTCCTGGATTTTAACAGAGTGTGAACTTTAAATTAACGTTTGCACTTTGTATTCAAGCCATCTTGCAAGGTGAACGACATTAGAAGTAGATATTAAAATTTGTAATACAGTGATATAACTTTTGCTTGTGCTGGCTTTGGTTAAGCGTTTTTATAATACGAAACCACTCAAAATTATTAATGAATTCTCAATTTAATTTTCTGAAACTAAAGAAATAATAAGGTTAGAATAAAAAAAAAATTGCCAAATTAAAATTCGTAAAATGAAACGGATATCATAAGAAAATACGTGAAAAATTTGAGTTCTTCTGAAAATGTAACATCTAACACGTAACAGTGTTTAAAAATACCCAATTACTTTGATATAATGTATGGAGCTCTAAAATTAAATAAAAATTAAATTCCATACCAAAAGAACAGACGATGATACAGTCCTGTCCCTTGGATACTCGAAACAACACTGAACTATTAGCTTAACTCAATAACACGGCCTGTCTCCCGACCTTGAATTGTATGCGTTCAATTTACCCATTCAATCAATCAAAGCTCAAACAAAGAATAACAGACAACATTAACACTAACAAAAAAATCTTATGCAAAACATTAAACAAAGAGTGGTACTATGTAAACATGTAAAGCAGATTAAAGAAATGGTATGTTAGTTTATGAATCTGTAAACATGCAACGTCTTAATTGTCTTTCGGAATGGCGTGTGCATCAAATTTTGCCAAAGACTCGCCAAAACGGCTGCGGAAACCTATGAAATGCTAAAGCAAGCATTTGGGGAGTCCTCAATGGGTCGTGCACAAACTTTTGTGTGGCATTTACGTTTTAAAAATGGCCGAACCTCTGTCGATGATGACGAGCGTTCTGGACGACCATCTTCGAGCACAACGCCCGAAAATGTTACGAAGATTCGGCAGGCCATTCACGAAGATCGACGTCGTACCATCAACGACTTGTGCGACATTGTTGGGGTAGGCTATGGGACCTGTCAGCTGATTCTAAAGGAAGAACTCCACATGCGACGCATCATGACAACGCGCCAGCGCACACCGCCCTCAAAGTTCGGCAGTTTTTGGCCTCAGACACCATGGCCGTCATCCCACACCATCCTTATTCGTCGTGTGACTTCTTCCTCTTCCCAAAAATGAAAATTCAGCTAAAGGGAAGGAGATTTGAGACGATAGATGAGATTCAGGCAGAATCGCAGATGGTGCTTGACAGGCTGACAAAGAAAGATTTCCAGGGATGCTTCCAGGCTTGGCAGCGGCGCTGGGATCGTTGTGTTCACTCCCAGGGGAACTAATTCGAGGGTGATGGATGAATTTAATACCTGAGATAAGTGTACGGTTTTTTATACGCGCAGTCTGGAAACCTTCCGATCGCACCTTGTAACCTCAAATGCCGTCATGATACTAATCTCTCTTGTCTTTTGCTTATAACGCATGCAGCGAGTACCATACTACATGAATGCCAAATGAAATAGGATAGCGTGATAATATCTTAGAATTATCTGTACTTGCATCTCAACTTTCATCTTATGCTATCACTTTGTATAAATTGTTCGTAGGAAAAACTTCGGTATGAGATTTGAGACTTTTATAGCGGTAAAGACATCGATGTTTGTCTTCTGGGTGTGAGGGCTTTAGTCCTGAAGATGGAGGCACTATGATTTTCCGAAACACTGGCATCTACGTACAAGTCTACATGGCGCTACAACCCGGAGGATTAAAAATGACATGTACTTCCCTTAGCAAAGACTTGCGTTTGTAAAAAAAATGTAGTTTTATGATTCATAACCAAATATTTATTTGATTATTTCGCATCCGGTAAATACTTTCTCGGAGACAAGATTAAAATCGAAAAATATTTTTCGGTAAACGTCCAGATTGTTATTTTTTATTCGTGTTCTGCAGGTCTTCGTAGTGAAAAGATTTTCCGATTAAAAGTTAAAAAGAATCTTGGCTTTTCTCATAACACATGTGCCTAAAATTAAACCAGAGATAAATGCCTCATCTTAGGGTCCGAGGGTATGGTAATGGGCTGCTTTATCAGGACTATCGATACATCGTAGGTCGATGACAGATCGAATATTCTCGGGTTATCGTATAGTTTATTCACCGTTCAGCCACATGACGCTGGTTGTAACCCGAGAATCTTTCAACTACAGTCGTCGCGAAAGCTTAGCTTTATACAGGGAACAATTTGTGCACATCGTCAGATAACTGTCAAGGCTTTAAGAAGTTCCTAGATGCGTCCTTAATTACAAAATCACTGCCTCTTACTGCGGGTAATTCACTGACAGGCTACCACAACAGAATAACGTACAAGTACTCATACAGTGTCCTGATTTCAAGTCCTTGGTTACTTCCTTCTACGACATACGTGTTTATTTCTAAGTAAATCTTACTGAATTGGTACTCTATGACGGTTTGCGAAAGAGAATATTTGGATTAAAAAATCTAAATACTATTGGAAAAGAGAATTATATACAGAAGAAAATTTATATATCCCCACAAAGACAAGTGGTATCTATATTTACCACCAGCTTCAGTAATCTATAGCTGAGTTTTGCCCACACTCCATATATGAGTTTCGTATTCTTCTCAGAAGAAACAGCGATTATTTCACAAAAAGATACTTGCCAACTGAACTTTGTAATGATGAAAGCTAGTGTTTTCTTTGTAATGGGAACTCAATCTATAAATATTAACATGCACTTCGGCTTCAATAAAATGAATTAAAAATAAAATAAAAATGATAAAAATAAAACACAAATGGCATTTTAAAAAATAGAATTAAATGATAGAACACAAAATAATACAAAATAAAATAAAGAAAATACAATATAAAGGAAAGTAAAACAAATAAAATAAAATAAATTAAAACACACAAAGAAGCTCAATTCAAGGAATAAAATTATATATGTAAAACAAATAAATATTCAGTTGAAGATTTCCGTCTTCTGGGTTGTTGCGCTGTGTAGTCTGGTCGATGTTTACCAACGTATCAGAGGTCATACTGCCTCGGTCATCGCCCTGATGATGGAGGCAGTATGACCTCTGAAACGTTGGTTAACATCGACCAGACTACACAGCGCAACAACCCAGAAGACAGAAAT